CACCCACACCCACACCCCCATCCACACCCACACCCCCATCCACACCCACACTCCACACCCTGTCCGACCAGATTTTTTCTATTGGATTTTTGACCTGAGAAAAGTGAAATTTACTGTCATGAGGGTCACCTTTTTTGTGTTTATTTAAACACCATGTCTATTAAAATGCTCATAAAAAAATGAATAAATAGGAATTTCAAAATTCTGTCCGATGAAAATTTGCGCACAAAGGCTAGCTTTTATTTGAAACCAGCTCGAGCTATGTACCCCTTAAAATGACGAAGTTATTTCGATTCTCCTGGAAGGTATGAAAACAAGCCGAAAGTGCGATCTAGAGGAGCATACTAGACTGAAATTTTTACCACAAGCGTTTCTCACAAGGACTATTCATTCCCGAAAAATCTAGCTCAAATGGCCCATCCAAAGTGGTAAATCAATTCTGAGGGGACCTCTTAAAGAGAATTATAAGGAATAGAATTATATGTCACGATTAATTAGATGTCTATAGTATATTTATTTAAATATCTTTAATTCTCATTTGCTGTATATTAGCATATGAACATTGTCCATCATTCAATATCGACAAATCTTTTTTCAAAAATTTCTCATTTTGCGACTGTTTTTTCGACATTTAACTTTTGATGTTTTTATTTAATTCCATCACTTTTACTAAATATGAGTGTTTCGATAATATAAAAAACTTATACAACAAATTTTAACTTGAAAATGATCATATGTTAATATACATCAAATGAGAGTTAAAGTATTTAAATAGACATACTATAGACATCTAATTAATCTTAAGATATAATTCTATTCCTTATAATTCGCTTAATATTTCCTCATTTTGATGTCTTTCTTTCTTTTTACTTTTTCTTTTCTTCTTTTTATGTAAATCCTCGCTATTTGATTTTTAGAACATGGAAAAAAAAAATCTTCTCTATCATACGAATCTATATATCTCCTCTATAACAAGGACTAGAGGTATGAATATTTAGAATAATATTCGTCTTGTTATAAGAGATTAAACGTCCAATTTGTAGCTTTGTTGGATGTGTAGTAAGGGAGAACGAGCAATTTCTCTAAGAACAACCAAGACTTTTGGATCATTCCGTATCAACAAAGAAATAGTATATGTGATGCACCTTATTGTAATTCTCGTTTTATCTAACACCTCAAAAAACAACAACAACTAGTACAAAAGATAGTAGTCAATGTACACGTTCGTCTCCACCATCAGCAACAGATACTCAAGGAGGATCAACAACACCTTTACTTGCTTCAGCTGTACACAAACAATCTCAAAAAATACAAGAAACAACATCACCAAAATCAATGATGATTGCATGAACAAAAAGAAATTTATTTATCAGTTACATAAATTACAACGAAAACTCCTTGAATCTTAAACAAAAGTAATAAGACTCCAAAGTGAAGTCGAAAGGAGAAATGAATTTTCGACTACAAACCATCATTCTCTGTTGATAGTACTCGTGGACTAACTACCTTCGTAAATGATTAAACTTTTTCCAAATTTTTTCTTCGTCGAAATTCTCAATTAAGTTAATGTTCCACTACACGGACTTCATTTTAGGATTTTGATGAAAATGAAGTCTAGAATATCAGTTTTGTAATATTCATTCAAAATATCTTTTAATTTATTTTAACCACATGATGTTGATTAAATTAAGAAGCATAGCATGTTACATTCTTATTCAATCTATCTCAAGATACATTAACCAAAAAAAGCACAGAAAAAGATGACAGAAAAAAAATATCATTGAAAGCGCAAAAATCTTTGTCTTTTTTTTAATAATTCTTCTTATTACGAATACAACCTTTTCTTCCGCATTTGTTGGCGTTTTTATGATTAAATTCTCCACATTCTGGACAAACACGAAAAAGTCTATTACAATCATTCACAATAGAGATATAATTAGGATTGATTGTAGTATTATCATTTGCATAAAAATGACGGTTATCATCAATATAAGAAGTGGCATTGTTATTTTCATAATAGTTTGTATTGATATCATGATTAGTACCACGTTGATAAACTTGATCATTATATCATGAACGATCATAATAACGATTAGCAATGCCACGTTTTCCACCATTGCGATTAACACCATGTTGGACATAATAATCAGCATTAGAACGAATGTTTGCATTTGCATCATGTTTCGTTTGTTTATGACGAACATAATTGTTGTCATCAGGATCATTGACATTAGAATTAACGATATTATCTTTTCCAATATCACCACCTTCTCGAGTTAAACCTGAAAATTTTGCACCTTCATTAATAAATGTAGGACTGTTGGTAGAGTTGTTGGTAAATAATGGTTGAGAAATCTATAAAAAAAGCATAAATAAAATGATCAACGAATCTCGTGCTTTTCTCATATTAAAGCACAAGATTACCTGACGAGGTCTAGATTATTCGTTGCTTTTGTTCTCTTGCAGTAGTGCTCTTTTGTTTTATTATTCGACTGATGGTTACTCTTATTGGAAAATAGATTCGTCTGATATTACTTTTTTTACTCACCGTTATATGGAAATGAAAATTCATTTGTCAGTGTGATACGGTAACTCTCTATGAAAAAAAATTTTGTTAACTTAAAAAGAAAAAGATAACTGCAGCAAATATCATGATTTTTATTTCATACAGAAAAAAAAGACTCAAGCTTTCGTATACAATTCATGTATACATCGTCAGGAGTTATACAAAGTTATGAAGATAATTAATTACACGAAGAAATGTATGGTATTTTCCATCAGATGTTTTTTGTTGATATTAAAGCTTCACCATTTTTGAGCAACCAAGCGAAACCACAAGATATATTGGACAATGATATATGTTTTTGTTATGTATTATGGAGATACAAGTAAATGATAATGAACATAAATACCAATGTTGTAGAGAAATCGTTGATCAATTGAGATGAGTCTTTTTCTTTTTTTCCTTCAATAAGCACCCATTTTTCACATCATATAGGTGTAGTACATTAAATAATGTGTAACTAATACTATATGAAATGAACATATATTATAAAATAAGAGATGAGATAAAGAGATGATGTGTTTCGATACATAAAACTAAGAAGATAAGTGAACATTTTTATAGAAAACATTATTACAATTAAATATCAATGATAGATGTTATAACAAGAAATAAGTCAAGTTAAAAACAACATAAATTGAATGTATTCATAGAGATATTAACATGACTAAGTATCAATAAGAGATGGAATAAAGAAATGATGTTTTTTGATACATACAATTAAAAAAAAAACATAAATGAACATACATTTGTAGAAATATTATTACAACTAAATGTCAACAACAGATGTGAAAAACAA